AATTATGTAACATTGATTTATAGTCTGAACTTTCTGAACAATCTTTTCATTATTTATTGTCTTGTCTTTTAAAATGTTTCCTTAATGCCTTTGGCCATTTTCCTACTATGGCACTAAGAAAGTACATTTATAAAAACTGATCTGCATGTCTTCTTAGTAATCGGTTGCTATCTGTGTTGCAATTTATGCTTTGTGTTGTCATTGCACTTTTTATTTTCTTATAATGCTCCCTGAATTTTTTTTAAGTTTTGTGTATCTCTAAAGACCTTTTTCTTAATAGTTCCATCTTCTGCTCTTAAACACACTCTCACAGTGCAACAAATACATCATTCATATGGTTAGCTTTTTAAAATCACAAACTTAAACATCATTACATCTTTTCTGAGAATATTTCACGAAAATGTGCTATCTCTGCTACTGTGATTAAAGACTTGCCTTCTAATTTCAGATTACTTCTCAATAAATAAGTATGCCTTTAAATACAGACTCAACTGCTATGGCTAAAACAGAAGCAAGCTTAACATCACCTCTAATTTTCCTAGATTCAGTGGATAAGAAAAGAAAAGCCTGTCATGATGATTTTCCTTAAAAAAAATTTTTTTTTTTTACTTAAAGTCAGATTTACAGAAAGAGAGAAGGAGAAATAGAGAGATCTTCCATCTGCTGGTTCACTCCCCAAATGGTCACAATGGCCAAAGCTGAGCTGATCCAGGAGCCTCCTTGGGTCTCCCATGTGGGTACAGGGTCTCAAGGGGTTGGGCCATCCTCCACTGGCCTCCCAGGCCACAAGCAGGGAGCTGTATGGGAAGTGGAGCAGCAGGACATGAACCAGTATCCATATGGGATACTCATGCCTAGAGGTGGGGACCAGTCAGTTGAGCGATTGCACTGGTCCCCATAGAGATTTTTAAAAAGCTATTCAACTTCCCACTAATCTCACATGGCCACCGATATAAAAATGCATGTCTTTCTGGAATATATGGACCTTTCTTTCTTCACTCAACGGAAGAGAAGCATTTCCCATTGCAATTACAGATGGACAGCAATGAGGAAATGCCTGTTGCTACTGCTCCTGACCACAGCACCAAACAGCCCTCTACTGATGGGATCCAACTTTGTTCAAAAGCAACCAGGCTGCTCAGCACAAAAACCCTGCAGTCCCCTAAATAGATCACTATAAACCCCCACATGCTTAGATTTTCAACAGACTATTTATGTCCACCAAATCATTAACCTATTTAAATGTAAAGATGATCGCTTAGATCTATTAATATAAATTTAAACTCATATTAAAACTCAAGTGTTCTGACTATTTGAAATGTCTTATTACAAGAGGTTTCTGTTATGGAACACTCAAAAAATTATTTGTTCAGGGAACTTTATCAGAACACTATTTTAAGAAAGAATATATTAATTTACATTAATTTATTATCTTAAAAATACAGCCCTCACACCACTCTCCTTAAAAAAAGGAAATGAGTAGATGCTGTATGTGGGAGAGGTACAGGTACCCTACCCCAGGGTCGCCTCACTGAGATACCATGTTGAACGACTTGGGCAGATGACACAAACAGAAATACTTTTGGCTGGTCAACTAAAACCCTGAAAAGGTCAGCAACTATTCTATCCTATCATGAAAGCATTTGTCTTGGGTCATCTCTAATGAACCTAGAAAAGCCAGTGTATTTCACAGGGGCTAAATAAAACTTTTTAAAAGGTTAGCGGAAAAACATTTATGCGAAAAAATGCTTCCAAATAATCTTTTAGTGGGTGGATTCGGCACATACCAGTGAATACCTTTGAGCTTATTCCAATCTCAAACTAAGCTAGAGTTTACCTTTAAGAAACAATGAAATTGTTTTTAAGTGAAACCCTGTATTAATAAGAAACATGGAATGTGAATATGAAAAGATATTATCAACTTAACTGTATCTAAATATTTCACAAAGTTTTCCATGAGCTGTCAGTAGATCTCTAAAATGCATAATCTTTAAAAAAACTTGTTAGTCATTCATCTGTAAAAGCCTAGCTTTTTATGTGTATGCCAAGCATAAAATTGCCCCATGCTAAATTTAACACAAACCCTCACATTACAGAGTTATGTGTTCTTGTACTTCAAAATAATTATGACAGTGACTCAAAGGATAAAAACACAGAATAGTCTACTTTCTGCTGTGTTTCAGTACAATGAAGAAAGTCTGAGAAACATGAAAAAAATTAGGTCCATATTTTAAATCTGCAGGCAATCAAGGCAGTAAAATAAATTGAGGAACTAGGCTATGTAATCATAATCACTTGCAAAACCATTTAAACTATTTTTTAGTGGTAATTGATAGCAGTTTCTTATGACTGTAATCATTTTAAAAATATCTTCCACTTGAAAAATTAAATGCACATGTACATTAACTTTTTCTTGGACTACTTATTTTAGGTGTTAACTAAACTAGATTAGAATTCTCTTCTTTCTCCTTTCCAATTCTGGATTCTCTTATTTTAACTGTTGTACTTGGGGTTGCCTAAGGAATGTAATCTACAAAATTACAATTCTGAAGCAATGCAAATCTTAACAAAGAAAACAGACTGAATAGAATCACTTCATAATGATACTGCTTTTCACAAAGTAGTAAGCCATGTCTTGAGATGAGGTTCCAGGACAGCTAAGAATTATACAAATGTTACATAGCTGAAGTCTCTCAATAGTATAAACTGGCACGTATAATTCTTAACAGAGAACCTGGAAGAGTAACATGTTGAATGACTTGTGCCTGATCAGAAAATATGTCAGCAAGACAGTGCTGGCAATCGCACATTCCTGTCCTCCTCATTTAATTCCTTCCTGAGAGAACCCCGCTCTAACCACTATCCACAAAAATCCCATGGAAAACTCTTTGGTGGACAGAAATCACTCAGAGCAGAGGTCTAAAAGTCACTATAATGTATGAATTAAAGCTAATTATCAGGTAATTGATTTACCACCTGGGTAACCAATTCCTAAGCAGAAAACAACTTCTACAGTATTTAAGCAGCTTTAAGCTGACTCCAAGGAATTCCATGGTGAGAGCTGGTTGCTGAGAAATGAAACAGTAGATTTTGGAGCTTTGATCCTCTTTGTCAATAGGAAGTAGCACCACTCTGTGTTCATTTGGAAAACCATTTATGTAGTTTTTCTTTCTCTCAGTTGAATGGGGAGACATTTTTTTTCAAATTTTCATATTGAATTATTGTAGATCACAGGAATTCCTAAAGTGTTACAGATTGGTTAAGTTTTAAGCTAGTTACAAACAACTCTAGTGCAACTAACTTACGTTTAAGGAAAATATTTTTATACATTGATACAAGAGGTTTATTGGTTAAACTCGTTGGCCTCTCTGTGATAATCCTTCCCACACCTTCCAGTATCCTCTAGTATCTGGGAAAAAAAGAAGAAGAAAAAGAAAAGAAAGGAAAAGAAGAGAAAAGAAAGAAAAAAAGCAAAGCAAAGCAAAGCAAGAAATATATAATGATAAGGGTCAAAATACTGATGTTTACTGATAGGGCTTGCAGGTTACCTATAGTGTGATTTCATGTTAAAACTGTCTATCCCAATTATCTGACTTTCAAACACAGAATGTCCACATTCTTCAGAAAAAAAAAATAGTCCAGGGCCAAAATGTAACTGTATAAGAATAAACTATACATTCTTTGGATATGCAAAAAACATGTGACAGATAAAAAGTATAAGAAGAGAATTTCTGGCAAGCCTACACAGAATTCTATCATTTTTATAAAAGAAGTGAAGCTGACAAGCATGGAAGGAAATCAGCGTTTATTAGGTACAGGCACTGTGGTTCTTTGCACAAAGTGATAACTAATTTAATGTTTCTTACACTCTTTTACTAAGTCATTATCAACCAAAACATTCAAACAATAATGAAACGAAACACAAACTCTATGAATTCCATTTTTTTCCTTGGGCTGTGTGCTAAGCCCATCACATTCATCACCCTATGTATATAATCCAAACGCTCCGAGGCACATTAAATGATTGCCAGAAAGTAATCCAAAAATACCATTACCTCACAGAAATGTTCTTCTCAAAAGGCTAGCCTTAATGATTCAAAAAGCAATTCTTGTGACCATGCTTTGGTAAGAATTTAGTAATAATTTCATTTATATTTATATCAAGAGATGAGTTGTTAATATCATGGACAAAGGATCTTTCTTTTTGACAATTTGCAGATTTAAATGTTTTCAGTATAAAGAAGTGCCAATAAAAAGAGACAGTGTTAAAATTGAGATATCCTGAGTATTTTCAATGGCTGAATGTTTTCATTTGTTGGTTTACAGCAAATGGTCACTTCAGTGAAAATATGGACTTTTTAACAAGAGGTGGAAAAGATGTTAAAGAAAAATATCTATACACCCAATGAAAAAGTATCTTGAGCATACATATTTGATTTAAAAAGCTATCTAAAGTTGATTTTGAAACACATGATAGCATTATAAACTAGGACAAGACTGTGAACAACTTTATACTTAAATTTCTGCCATTTCACTGACTTTATGAAATACTGCAAATTGTAATGACTCAGAAAAACATATAAAACATTTATGGTAATGTTAAATGAAATATCAGAACAAAAATTTTTATCTGTAATTACATAAAATTAGCTGTGTACATAAAGAATTAGAACTGTGAGAACAACTGCTCTGAGAGCATAATCAGCTTATAGATAACTGTTGTTTAACACAATCTATAAACCAGAGTAATATTATTTTAATATACGGCAATCTAAAAAAAACCACACACACAATGTTAACACTTTGTGTGTTATATGGTACTCTGAAAAGACTTAACTGTGGTAAGGGTGCCTGTGTTTTAGTATTCCAGTTATTCTGACTCCCCTTGTACTCCACACAACATTTGGAAGCCAGTGGGACTAATCAGTACCCAGAGACAGCTGGCTACTGAACCACTGATTTGAATACCAAATGCAGATAATACAAAAATGCAAACTTACTGTTATTTGCTGGTTCAGGAAACCCAGGTTTTGGACCACTCCATCCTTTGTTTTCTCCTGTCTGAGAGATTAAACAGAAATTGTTTAAAACCAGAGAAAAATGCTTACTCAAAAGGAAAAAAAAACCTTGATTCATCTACTTGACTCATCAACTAAGCCATAGTAAGCCTTTTTTACTTTAATAACTGTGAATTTCCATCAACAGGTAACAAAAAATCTATCTAACAGCATGCCTAGTATCAAAATTTCTCATCCTTCCATTCTTAAGCTTATTTTTCATCATTTGAAAGGCTGAGATAGACACACAGGAATAAATAACTTCCATCTCTTGGTTCATTTCCATTTATCCTTCCAAAGTAATATTAAAGATAATGAGGAATGGGGTGGCAAAGGTGAATTTTATGGTTGAAATGTGATTGGATTTGGAAGTTGGGGGTGGAGGGAAGATTGTAGGATGTGATGATTAGGATAAGAGGATGGTGTGATGGTTATTGTTGTGGGGTGATGTGGGGTTTGAAATGGGTAGAGGTTAAGTGGATAATTTTTTTGTGGGGGGGGGGGGGGGGGGGGGGGGGGGGGGGGGGGGGGGGGGGGGGGGGGGGGGGGGGGGGGGTTTTTTTTATATTTGTTGTGGTGTTTTGAGGGGGGGGGGGGGGTTGGGGTGGTAGGTATGGTTGGGGTGTTGGTTTTATGGGGGGGGGGGGGGTGGTGATTGGTGGTTGTGATGTGGGGGGGGGGGGTGATGTGGAGGGGGGATGAGAAGATTTGTTAATATTATAGGTGGAGGATGATGGATTTGAATTTGGAAAGGGGGAGGAGGAGGGGGAGAGAAAGGGGATAGGGTGGTGGGAGTTAGAGGGGGGGGGGGTAATAGTAGGGTAGATGTATGTGATGGGGTGATTTTGTGTTTGGGTGTGTGTGTAATATTATTAATGGAGGGTTTGTTGGGAGAAGAGGGGGTGGAGGTGAGTAGTATTAAATGTTAGGTGGAAAAGAGTTGTTTGATATGTGTTGTGGTATATGGGTGGTTATGGGTATTTGGATTGGGTTGGTGATTATTTTTATGGAATGGTTTGGTTTAGAATGATGGATTATTGGAATTTGAGAGAGGGATTTGAGAGGAGGGTTAGTGGGGGGGGGATTGGATATGAGGGTGATAGTATTGTGTGATATATTTGGGGTGTGAAGGGTGGTATGGGGAGGGTGAAAAATGGTGGGAATATGAGGTTTTGTCGTGGGTATGGAGATAGGTGGGAAAGGGATGATAAGGTTTGGGGGATAGTGGTAAAGATGGGGGAGGAGTATGTAAAAGAGGGTTTTGAATGGGTTATGTGAAATTGTTAAGGAAGGGGGTGAGGATGAATTGTGTATGTGGTTATGGAGGGGTTTAAGGTATTTAGTATATTAGTTTTTGATGGTTGAGAGGGAATAAAGGGAGTTGGTGATGGGTGTGAGGGGAGGGGGTGAAGAATTGTTGTATTGATGTATGTGTATGGAAGGGGCATAATAGATAAATGGGGAAGTTGGTAGGGTGGGATGATGGAGGGGGGGGTAGGGATGTGGGGGGATTGGGGATTATAATGATGGTTTCAGTCACTGGTGGGGGATATTGGGGGACATAGGCCACAGCACCTGCTAGTAAGCATAAGGACTGGATCTGTGGCAGGCTACCTGGGCAGGACCACAGAACCCATGGGTTCATCTGAAAGATCGGATGAGGGTGAAACTGACCAGACAACTGTATCCACCAGAAAGTGCTTTGGTTGTTGCAGGTGGCAGACTGCGTGAATGGTCTGGCACTGGCAGTCAAGTCGGAGGTCACCCCAGGCAAAGTTTCTTGGGGTACTCCCCCACTAGACTACTGAACTCAGACCCTGGACACAGGCAAAATGACAGGATATGTGGTTCAACCTCAGAGTGCATGTATCAGGACTAGGCGTCCTCAGTTGTTGATACCTGTGCAGTGGACAGCATGTCCAGATGCACACGGGGGACATGATGACCAGCTTATCTAGCCTGCAGGAGATGTCAACTACCTCATCAGAGAAAGAAAAGTAAAAACCAAAACAGTTGTACAGTTCTCCTGGCCAGGCTTTGCAGCATGTTCCTGGGTCTGTAGATGCATTAAGGTGGATTCTGTCAACCAAGAGATCTTGGAAAGACTTTCCCAACTCTGGAGCAACAAAACCATAATCTCAGAACTATCAAAACCATTCAAGTAACCATTCAACTAACACCCTCAAAACACTCTTCCCCACATTGTGGTCTCTAAGATGTCAAAGGACTGTCTCCCATATACAGGTGCTGAAATAGTTTGATAGCAAGAAACGGTTCTATCCTTTCCCTTCCCCATCTCTGTGGAGAGAAAAAAAAAAAAAAAAAGACTGAGACATGTATCCTAGCCATCTTTTTCCATACCTCAACCCTCCCAACCTTAATCAGAGGTCCACATGGGCATGAAACCCTCCCAAGTATATAAACAATATTAAAAATCAAAGAAAGAAATGGCCTAGCTGGCAAATGGGAAAACTTTTTCTACTGTGAAAGTAGGGAAAAGGGACAGATGTTTGCAAATGCAGGTATTATGTTAGTGGGAAAACCAGAGAGAAACTTCCATTCATATGTTCTCTAGGAAGTACAAGGTAATATAATAGAACAAAAATAAAGCTGATTAAAGATGATTGTTAAGTTTCTCAGAACTCTGAACAGTAAGAATAAGTCACTCTAGGGAGGGCAAGTATAGGTTGATTAGAAACAGGCAGATTCCCAGGTATCTGAAGGCTCTTTTACAGTCGGTAGCATTTATGATTTCATTCCTCTTCGTTTTCCTCCTTCAACTAGCATCCCAAGTCATTTAAATGTTAAGTCATAACCCCTGCATCTAGTTTCAAACCTTCAGCTAAACCTCAAGACCACTACTCTTTCACCACATTGCTCCAGCAGACTGCTCCTATAAGGTTTCTGTTCAAACATGTTGGTGTGAACACCAGCAGTAGTCTCTTCTCTCTCCCAAAATATCTCTAAATTGACAACCCAAGAATCTAAAAACATCGACACACAGAATACAAAAAAAGGCAACAGCAGAGGAGATGACTGAGCCAAGGTGACCTGGAAAGCAGCCACACAAGCTGTAGTAGCTTAGACAGAAACATAACCTACAGAGGCAGATGCCAACAAAGTGCTAACCAAAAAAGTACAGTGATTGTATCGCAGGACACCACAATGCCTCAGGAATGAGAATCACACCTGGTGCATCTAAAAGGGAATCCTCAAAGTGGTTGGAAACATTAAGACTGGAAGGCTTTTCACAGTGCTGTGAAATCCCCAAGTCACATCTTTGACCTTGAGCACCTAGAGATCTACCTCCCAGAGAGGGCTTTCCTCATAGATGAGGCTAAATGAGGTAAACAATTGAAAGTGGATCCACAGGCCACACAGCATGTAAGAAGATGGAATTCAAGGTTACAGATTGGAAGAGAAGATCCCAGGGAAGGACAGCAGGTAGGTTTATGACCCACAAGGGTCATAAATGAGGACAATGTGGTAAAAAGAGCAAATCAATGCAAACTCAAAGTCTTTATACAATAATAAGAAAAAATAAAAGAAATATCATATTCACTAACAAAGATAGAAGGCTATAAAAAGCAACAGAATAAGAATAAAGAGGAGATTAACAGGTGAAACAAGATTTGCAAAGAGTGACATAAAGATAAAGATAAAGAAATATCTTAGAAAACAGAATAAATAGCGGGAGGGACAATGTGAGATTATCTATAAGACTAAAAAGTACCCTAGAGGAAAAAGAAATAAAAATAGAAGGAAAGAACATGCCAATAGATGAACATAATTTCCACTGTGGTGCAGCATATTAACCTTCCACCTGCAATGCTGGCATCCCGTAAGAATGCTGGTTTGAGTCCCACCTGCTCCACTTTTGATCCTGTTCCCTGCTAATGTGTCTTGGAAAAACAAAAGATGGCCCAGGTTTTGGGCTCCTATGACCCATGTACAAGACTCAGAGTCTGAATTTAGCCTAGTCCAGTCCTGGCTGTTGCAGTCATTTGAAAAATTAAAGATTCACACATACTCTTTCTCTTTCTCCATATTTCCTTTTTACTCTGCAACTCTGCCTTTCAAATAAACAAATACATTTCCAATTCCAATGTCCCAACACAATTTGTAAAATAATATACCCATCAAAGCAGCTATCCATAAAATTTCAGAATTCCTATGGGGAAAAAGTGTCAGAAAAGCATCCAAAGGAAGAAAAAATGTAGTGTTTCATATTCAGGATGAAGGATCACAAGACACCAGAGTTTCAGCAACAATACTGAGAACTCTAACAACACTTGCTGGTGTAGACGTGGAAAGGAGGCATCCCCCTGCACTGTTGGTGGGAGTGTAGGCTAGTACAACCACTAGGGAAGTCAGTCTGGTGAGTGCTAAGACAACTGAAAATTGATCTGCTGTATGACCCAGCTATCCCACTTCTGAGCATATACCCAAAGGAAATGAAATCTGCATTTGAGAACGTGACCTGTAATATTATATTTACAGCAGCACAACCTACAATTATTAAAGACATGGAAACAATCCAGATGCCAGTTGAAAGAGGAATGGATAAAGAAACTGTGGTATATCTACTCTATGAAATACTACTCAGCCATTAAAAGAATGAAATTTCACCATTTGCGCCAAAATGGTCCAACTAGAGACCAATATACATGGTCAAATAAGCCAATCCCCGAAGGGCAAATATCACATATACTCGCTAATCTGAGGCAAGCTTCATGCAAAATACAAGATCAATAGAGACATAGGCAAACATGCATGCACATTATTCATCTAGAGGAACTACAGAACAGACTGCCATAATGAGAAGTGGAAATATACAACTACACATCTCTAATCCCAAAGAAAAAATAGACTCTCAATGAAACTGTTAAATATGTTTTGACAATAGAACATTGGACTTTCTAACACTTAAATAGCAGAAATCTCTGTGTCTATGAAAATGTATCATAAAAAATTAAAGTTTTTTTAAAAATAAAAATAATATAAAAGAACAGGCTAATGATAAATGTAATGAAGTGGATGATTCCCAAAAGCATATGCCAAGCAATAAATCACAAAAGAAAGGTTACACAACGTGTTGATTTGTATGATACTCTGGAAAAGGCAAACACACAGGGGCAGAAATCAAATCAATCAATATTTCCCAAGATGAGGAGGGAGGGAAACCCTCCTCACTCACACTGTGGTGGTGGCTAATGACTAAACCCTCAAAATTCACTGTACTGCATGCTCACTAAATCTGAATATTCTTTTTGCAAAGGGAATGTATATTAATATAGAGGCACAGATGATCTCTGTGAGGGCATTTTATTTTATGTGTATGACAGTCACAGCATTCAAACACCATGCTCAATGATATACAAAGACTATGAAACTGAAGCCCGTAGGGAAAGATGAGTCTTTTTTTCACAATTACACTTTGTCTCATGTTCAAATTTTTTAAAACTATGCACATGTCTTACCTATTTTTTAAAATGCAAAATAAAACTCCATCCCGGCTTTGTGCTAAAGCACATTGTGTGAGGCAGCAGTGATAGCTTAAGTAGCTGAATTCCTTCCATCCACAAAGGAGACCTCAAATGAGCTCCACTACTCTGGTTTCAGCTGGGCCCAACCTTGACTGGTGCAGGAATTTGATGACTGAGGCAGCAGATGGGAGGTGTCTCTGTCTCTCTGTCTCTCAGTCTCTCTCTCTCCCCCTTTCTGTGTGTGTGTGTGTACATGTGCAACTCTGACTTTCAAATATATAAAAAGAAAAAAGCTTACAAGATTTCAATTCTTCATTTGAAAGGCAAAGTTACAGAGAAAAAGAGGGAGAGACAGAGAGAGATACTCCACCCACTACCTAACTTGCCAAATGGCTGCATCAGCTGGAGGTGGGCTGATCCAAAGCCAGGAGTCAGGACCTTCTTCCAGATCTATCAGTCTCTCATGTGGCTGCAGGGACCCAAGGATGTGGGCCATTTTCCTCTGCTTCCCCAGGCATGTTACAGGCAGCTGGATCAGAAGTGGAACAAGTGGGAAGCATACCAGCACCCACATGGGATGCTGATGTTGCAGGTGGCAGTTACACCTGCTATGCCAAAGCACTGGCACCAAAGAGGAAAAATGAAGAAGGTTTTAATAAAACACTTTTTGCCAAATTCAAAGATCTTTTGTTGTTGTTGTTGTTTGTAATTAAACTAAACTTTATCTATCTAAAAGGCAGAGAAACACATTAGCAACAGTCAGAACTGGAGCAGGTCAAAGCAGCAGCCCCTAACTCAATCTGGGTCTCCAACATGGATGGCAGAGACTCAAGCACTGTAACCACTACCTGCTGTCTCCCAAGATGGCCAACGGTAGGAAGCTAGAATCAAGAGAGGAATTGGAACATGAACGTGGGCACTCTGATCTGAGATGTAGGCATCCAATGCAGCATCTTAACTGCTAACTAAGCACATAGACTCACAGCACGAATACCCTAACCTATAAACATCTTAGTAACAAGTAAGCATATCAGTCCTTCTCCTATCTGATTTCTGTTCAGTGTCTAACTGCCACCTAGTACATAATCATTTTCAAACTCTTTTTTTTCCTCTCCTCTTTTCTACCATTTACTGCCTTAATTTAAATCCTCAGGATGTCTTACCTAACAACTCTTCTGGCCTCCTAACTGGCCTCTCTGCCTTAAAGTCTCAACCTGTTCAAATTCACTTTCCACATTACTTACAGAACTGACTTGGCGAATGCAAACAAGTTCAATTAAGCTTCATGTGCAAGTCTTAAATGAGTGATTTCTTGAGTTATTTACATAAAAACCATGCAAGCTTCTCCTGACTTTCCAGATCTATCCTTTGCTCTCCATGTTTAGGCTAGCATAATTTTTGTTTTATGATTAAAAACTCCTCACTCCTAATATCTGATGGTCAGTTCCATGAATGGAAAGACCGAACTGACCACGTTTCGGTGGTGGGTTGGATGGCTGACTGTACCTGCCATCTTGGCTGGAGTACCCTGGTATTTGCTCCAATCTAGGTGCTTCTGTTAAGATGCTCGGGATGAGATTTCCAATTCAACTTGATTCTGAGTAAAGCAGATTGCCCCTCCCAGTATGGGTGCAACTCATGCAGTCAGTCCAAGACCTAACAGAACAGAATGCAGATTCCCCTGGGCAAAAGCAGTTTCCCACAAGACCTAGAAGGCTAGAACTGCAGCTCTTTCCTGAAGACCCAGCCTCCAGCCTCCCCCATCAGACTCTGGGCTTCCAGCTTCCATAATCACATGGACCAATTCCTTCAAACAAATCTGTATGTGCACACATAGGCCCAGGGACACAGAAAGCCAACATGCTGTTGCCTCTGTTCCTCACGAGAACCTCTCTGAAATGGTGGTATGCAGAAAATGTTTCTCAAATTAATGAAATCAACTAACAAAATTAATGGGGTTTTTGTTCTGCTCTTTTTGTTTTGCTTTCGCCCAATTTACAAACAAATGTCTGTTAGGGGATTTATATTTTAACATGTTTTTTATAAATCACTCAACAGTTTTAAGTCAATATAAATGTGTTAAGTTAAAACAACATATACACTAACAATTTAAGAACTAGAAACTTGAACATATGTTAGGTTTCATGTTACAAATTCTGTTAAAAGAAGAAAAAAAGCACTTACTAGTCCAGCTATAAAACCAGTTAAAGATTCTAACAAAACCACACAAATGATTTCTTAAGCCTTCAAAAGAACCATAGCTGCCTTTAAAAAAAATAGCGTATCTCAACACTATTTATATGATAATTTTGTTACCCTTAATTTTAGAAACATGTTCCCATAGAAACTAAAAACATCTGACACAAAATCCTTATGTAAGAAAATGGTGTGGTCAAAACATATTACTCTTAATCCTATTGTTTGTGAATTTTCATATGAAGAAAATATCACCTAGAAATAGCTTCTACATGCAAAAATAACAAAATGATAATACAAAACTAAGTCAGAGCCATCCTGACTTTGGGGTTCCCCACTCTAGCAGAGGGAGGTGTTAATGATGTCATTACTGGTGCAGAAGTGGGGGTGGGAAAGGGAGGAATATGAGCACAGGCTTTGACAGACAATAAACACCCACAGAGTTTACCTTTAGATTTTAAGTAAATACCAAAACCACATATAGAGTGTCTGTGTAATATGGCTCCTGCCCTAAAGGGATATGTCAGAATTTTTATTTCCAGTGTTTTCAGCTGTATCCCCATCACCCTCCAAAAATAAATAAAATAAAAGCTAGCAACTTCTTTTCTCAAAAGGCAGAAATTAAAGCTATATCTTGTCATAAAATGAAACTCACTTTTTAAAAAAAGCTATATCTATGGGAAAAAACTGAGTGGCATAAACAGTAAGTTAAAATATTAAATCAGTAATATACAGAATATGTACATGTGATTTTTAATATTTATTACTTATACAAGTATAGCTGCTCATTAATTAGCCACTAATACTTCATTTTATCCCTCTAGTAACAGTTATTTTTTGCTTGCAGGAACTATTTTTAAAGATACAGAATATTACACCAGCAAAGTTAAAACTGATATCTACTTTATCAGCACTTGTAATCATGTTGATATTCTGAGAAAGCACATACTGTAAACTTAACTCTCACCTTGTCAAGCTGATCTTGAAGACCAGTGGATGCTTTATAACCAAGTTGTAATAACATTGCTTCTGCAGCATTCTTTTTGGCTATCTTCTTATTAGGTCCTGTTCCTGTAGCAACTTCACTGCCCACCTTGACCTGAAAGATTAAAGGGTTCAATTAAGTGATAGTTAGGTAAAAAGGAACTCCTTACATCACAAAACAACATACTCCAATCCCTAGCTTTAAAAATGTAAAATTTAGAGCAAAAAACACAGAAAAAGGTCTCAATTTTGTAATACAAAATATGTAAGTGAAAACATACATGGAAAAATGGTTTCAATATGTCAATGAGGGGTTATCTCGGAACAGTAGAATCGCACAGGATTTTTATATCCTTACACATGTATATATGTTTTTTCATTTTTTGAAACCTTAAATTCATATAACAGAAAACTAAAATTAATGAATTAATATCACTTCTATATTCTGTATCCTTTATTTTAATTACAACACTAAAACATTTTCAATTCATATTCATGCCATTCATAATGATGCTCAGATATCCCAACTTTGCAAAGATTTATGAAGTAGTTTCTGAAGAGAATTCAAACATGTGGATCAGCACAATACTGCCATTAGCAGCAGACACCAAGTCAGAATAGGATATGCAACTCAACGCTAGTCACTCCCAACTGTGCAAATTATTCACCATCTCCAGTCTGATTTTTCGTCAGTATAACAAGAACAATGTTGTTTTGAAAATTAACATGATGCATGTAAACCAATGCTTAATCAGCAATTGCTTAATAAACAGTAACTTCATCCACAGAACTATTACAGTTATCTTTTGTAATTTACATGTGTGTTTAAATTAATATATAGCAGCCATCTTATACTAACATTTAGTTTCTGAATTACAAAATGCTGTTTTAGAGATGCATGTGCTGAGAAATAATAAGAATATAAGAAGCCAATTTAAAAAGCAAGAAAAGACAGAATTACAAGGAGTAACAGAAAATGCAAAACTTTAGTAGAATTAATTTTTTTTTTTTTTTTTTTTTCTTTTTTTTTTTGTTTTTTTTTTTTTTTTTTTTTTTTTATTGTTGCTTACATTGTATTATGTAGTACAGTTTTATAGGCGCTGGGGATTCCCCCCACCCCTCCCATAACCCTCCCCCCATGGTGGATTCCTCCACCTTGTTGCATAACCATAGTTCAAGTTCAGTTGAGATTCATTGCTTGCAAACACATGCCTAGCATAAAGTTCAGCGTCTTATTGTCCAGATAAGTTCAGTGGCCTCTTGGGGAGACCTTCTATGGTCTGAAGATAGGTCTAACAGAGTAGAGATCCGGTCAGTTAAAAGCCCCAACAAGGCCTCAGTGTCAATATACAACATTATGGAATTAATTGACATAGTAATGGGTAGACAATATGTTAAAAATAATGCAAGTTCCATTCTTCGAAACATCTGGGTTGAGACAGTATCAATGACAGGTTCAGAAAATAACCAACAACCAAACAAAAAATTACAGGTTAAATCAAGGCAAACATGTGGTATCTAATCTTTTGGGATTCACTCATTTCCCTTAGCATTATAGTTTCCAGTTGTGCCCATTTAGCCACAAAGAACTGCATTTTGTTTTTTTTAATAGCTGAGTAGTATTCCATGGAGTAGATGAACCAAAGCTTTCTTATCCAATCTTCTGCTGATGGGCATTTCGGTTGCTTCCATGTTTTTGCAATTACTGATTGTGCTGCAATGAACATAGGGATGCATGTTGGTTTGTCGTAAAACAGGTGTTTTGGATATATTCCTAGGAGTGCTATTGCTGGGTCATATGGTATGCAGATTTTGAGTTGTTTGAGTGTTCTCCAGACTGATTTCCATAAAGGCTGTACCAATTTGCAGCTCCACCAGCAGTGGAGTAGGGTTCCCTTTTCCCCGCATCCTCGCCAGCAAGCGTCGTTGGTGTTCTTGTTTATGTGGGCCAATCTTACTGGTGTTAGGTGGTACCTCATCGATGTTTTAATTTGGATTTCCCTTATTGCTAGGGAGCTGGAACATTTTTTCATATGTTTGTTTGCCATTTGGACTTGTTCCTTTGTGAAATGTTTGCCCATTTCCCGTGCCCATTTCTTGAGTGGTTTGTTTGTTTTGGTTTTTTGGTTGTTTTGAAGTTCTTTGTATATCCTGGAAATTAGCCCCCTATCGCCTATATCGTGTGCAAAGATCTTCTCCCAATCTGTGGGTTGCTTTTTTACTTTGTTGATTGTTTCCCTTGCTGTACAGAAGCTTCTTAGTTTGATGAGGTCCCATTTGTTTATTCTGTTCTCAACTGCTATTGCTTTTGGTGTCCTTCTTAGAAAGTCGGAACCTACTCCTAGGTCTTGCAGGGTATTTCCTACATTTTCCTGCAAGAGTTTGAAGGTTTCTGGATGTAGGTTTAGGTCTTTTATCCATGTAGATTGGATCTTAGTGTATGGTGATAGATGTGGGTCTATCTTTTTGTTTCTACAGGCTATCAGCCAGTTGTCCCAACAACATTTACTAAAGAGGCCTTCCCACTTGCTTGAGTTGTCATTGGTCTTTTTGTCAAAGATTAATTGGCTGTATTTGTGTGGGTTCCCTTTTGGTGCTTCTATTCTATTCCATTGATCTTCCTTTCTGTCTTTGTGCCAGTACCAGGCTGTTTTGATAACCACTGCTCTATAGTATGTCCAGAGGTCCGGGATTGTGATTCCCCCTGCTAACTTCTTATTTTTCAGGATGGTTCTAGCTATTCGTGGTTTTTTGTGTTTCCAGATGAACTCTTGAATCATTGTATCCAGTTCCGTGAAGAATGTTTTGGGCAATTTGATTGGAATTGCGTTGAAAATGTATATTGCTTGTGGTAGTATAGACATTTTAATGATATTGATTTTGCCTATCCAGGAGCACGGGATGTTATTCCATCTTTTGAGGTTTTGTTCAATTTCCTTTTTAAATAGTTTGTAGTTTTCTTCGAATAGGTCTCCTACGCTTTTGGTTAAATTTATTCCCAAATACTTCATACTTCTCTCTGTTATTTTGAATGGTATCCTGTTGGTTAGATCTTCTTCCATCTTGGTGTTATTTGCGTACACTATGGCTGTTGATTTTCGTTCGTTAATTTTGTACCCCGCCACTCTGCCAAACTCTCGTATAAGTTCTAGCAGTTTCTGTATTGAGTCTCCTGGTTTTTCTATGTACAGGATTATGTCATCTGCATATAGTGAAAGCTTGACTTCTTCGTTTCCTATACGTATGCCTTTGATTTCTTTTTCTTGTCTTATGGCCTCTGCAAGTACCTCTAGGACTATGTTGAATAGCAGTGGTGATAGCGGGCACCCTTGTCTTGTTCCAGATCGCAGTGGGAAGGGTTCTAGCTTTTCTCCATTCAGTATGATACTGGCATTGGGTTTTTCATAAATTGCTTTGATTATGTTGTGGATTTTCCCATCTATGCCTACTTTGGCTAGAGTTTTTAGCATGAAGAGGTGTTGGATTTTGTCGAAAGCTTTTTCTGCATCTATTGAAACTATTATGTGGTTCTTGTTTTGCAGTTTTTGGATGTGGTTTATAACATTTATGGATTTCCGAATGTTGAACCATCCCTGCATTCCAGGGATGAATCCTACTTGATCCGGATGAATGATCTGTCTGATGATTTTTTGAATTCTATTGGCTAGGATTTTGTTGAGAATTTTAGCATCAATGTTCATCAGAGAAATAGGTCTGTAGTTTTCCTTCTCTGATGGTTCTCTGTCCGGTTTTGGGATTAAGGTGATGTTAGCTTCATAGAATGAGTTTGGGAGGGTTGCTTCCTCCTCTATTGTTTTGAAGAGCTTGTAGAGGATTGGGGTTAGTTCTGTTCGGAATGTTTTGTAGAATTCTGTAGTGAAGCCGTCTGGGCCTGGGCTTTTTTTCGTTGGGAGATCTTTGATGACTGTTTCAATCTCTGCCTCGGTTATGGGTTTATTTAATTCTGCAGTTGCCTCCGGACTGAGTTTTGGTAAGTGGTGGGAGTCCAAGAACTTTTCTATTTCTTGGTGGTCCTCAAATTTGTGGGAGTACAGTTCTTTGTAGTAATTTCTAATTATTTTCTTAATGATTGCAGTGTCTGTTGTTATGTTGCCTTTTTCATCTTTAATGCTATTGATTCTCACTTTCTCTTGTTTTTTTTTGGTCAATCGGGCCAGTGGAGTGTCTATTTTGTTTATTTTCTCAAAAAACCAACTTTTTGATTTGTTGATTTTATGTATAGTTTTTTTGATTTCTATTTGGTTTATCTCCTCCCTTGTTTTGATGATTTCTTGTTTCCTATTGTGTGTGGGACTCTTCTGCTGCTGTTTTTCCAGATCCTGGAGGTGTGAGGTTAGTTCCTGTATTTGGCGTCTTTCTTGGGCCTTGACATGGGCTCCGATTGCGATGAATCTACCTCGTAGCACTGCTTTGGCGGTGTCCCACAAGTTTTGGAATGTTGTATCAGAGTTTTCATTGGTTTCCATAAATTTTTTGATCTCATCTTTAATTTCTTCTCTGACCCATTGTTCGTTTAATAGCATGTTGTTCAATTTCCAAGAGTGCCTATACTTCCTGGGGAGTTTTGAGTTGTTGATTTCCAGTTTCATCCCATGGTGGTCTGAGAGGGTACATGGTATGATACTAATGTTTTGGAAGTTGTTTAGATTCGCTTTATGTCCTATCATGTGGTCGATTCTGGAGAAGGTGCCATGCACCGCTGAGAAGAAGGTATAGTCTGTGGACTTAGGATAAAAAGTTCTATATATGTCTACTAAGTCCAGTTGTTCTATTGTTTGTGTGAGCTCTGTTGTTTCTTTGTTGAGTTTTTGTTTCGTAGACCGGTCCATTGTTGTTAGAGGTGTGTTGAGATCGCCTACAAGAATTGTGCGGGTGTCTATGTCTTCCCTTAAGTCTGTAAGTAATTGCTTTACGTAAGTAGGTGCATTAAGATTCGGTGCATAAACATTAATGATGGTGATTGCTTCTTGATGGATCATTCCTTTCACCAGTATAAAATGGCCTTCCCTGTCTCTTTTGATGTTGGTTAGAATGAAATCTATCTCGTCTGAAATTAGGATAGCTACCCCAGCTTTTTTTTCTCGTCTATTGGCG